ACTCATCTCTCAACCATCTGGACCAATATAATTCCTGTGTCTCACCTGGCTGCCCTGTGATTTCCAAAAGTTCTGTACAGGCAAGGTAGGCAACAGGAACACATTAATAACTGATTTCCTATTTTCTAAACAAAGAAAAAAAAACTCCAGGAGATTTAAAAAACAAAACAAAACAACACCACAAAACAACATTCCATTCTGGGGATTTTAAAACAATCAAGTTCTAAGATAAAACATAATTTTTGAAACAAAAATTGGGAATTCTTAATTGGAAAACATCAACACTAAACATCATAATGCTTTCAATGTAATGTTCTTTTTCAGCAAAGATCCATACATCATTTTCTTAAGAAAGGTTGGGCATTCCATTTACATTGACTGACTAAACAATACTTCTACCAGTACCATGTAAATTAATTGCTTTTCATATCTATCTAGGACCACTTCAATCTTTTCATTCATGGCAGAAAACACATCACAAATAACCTGCAGATCCCCAAGTCATTTAATCTTTGCAAGAAAATGACCTATCTGGGATGGCCGGAGTTACCTGTTTCACTGACCTTGCATTTGACTACTAAGAAACCATTTATTAAATTGTAACCATTTGTGCCAGTATTGCATCATCATTTCTGGAGATGAAGGAATCACTCACATAGCAACTGTATCTGAATTTTTAACCTATCTGTGTGTCCAGTTAACTTCAGAAAATGCAAGTTGTTGATTGTAGAGTTGGCATTTTTTCTTTTCTAAATCAAAAATACCCGTGGGTTGAAGTCATAGAGGAATATCCAAGCAGACTGGATGACAATTTCTTTTCAGTGGTGGCTGTACAGTAGGCATTCTGCTTCACAAGATACAGCTGGGCATAGGTGTAGATGTTTTGTGCATCTGTGTAACAATATCAGTAAGATCACGGCAGTATCTTGGAGAAACCTGCGCATAGCCTACTGGACCTTGCTGTGATAAGCAAAACTGACAGCAGTGCAGTCCCACATCACATGCTAATTTACAGATTCTTACTAGGGTACAGGTGGCTATTGGAAAAATTAGCTGTTAAGGAATTATGACTCCAAAGACTGCTTTGCATTTTCTCCACCAGTAAGAAACAATATCCTACAACATTCTTAAGAGAGCCAGAAAGTGTTCTCTCTTTCCAAGAAATCAGGTCACAGAGAAAATTAAATACCTGTGAGAAAACTGGAAATTATACTTAAATTTATAGACTTCCAGACTGTTGCCTTAACTACAGGCCATACCAGCTGTGATATCTTACACTGGTGTACCTCCTTGAGGAGCTCATTTATTTCTGTGATGTCATTAGCAGTGGAGCAGAATACACACACACACACACACACACACACATATATATATCCAGTAAGAGTACATTGCGTTTGCATTTAGAAGAGTAAGAATCCCCAAGGGCACTAAAAAAAGGCGATCTGATATCCAAGTCTAGATGTAATCTTACGCACATTTCAAGAGGCTTGCCTGGACTTTGCTATGTGAAACAGCTTCAGATGTGCTTCTCCTATTCTTAAAGCACAAGATATGTAATTTCCAAAAGTACCTCATCACATGAAATACCCACCATGAATACATATCACAGGTCTTTAGATTACAGGTGTAGCTACTAGTTAATGTCTTCTGCTGTAAAACTGATAACCTACACAGTGGGACTCTAAGCTATCAAACAACGTTAAATAAAAACTACGTGTGACACAAGTGGACACTAGAGAGATTCAGACCCTCGCTGACGGAACAGTGGTGGTAAACAGCAGCTATGGTGTGATTGCATCTGTAACCTCCTTTGTCTTCTTAGGTGGGAAGCCCACAAGGCTGTTTTCCACTCAAAGGGACTTCAGCAAATAATTCCAGCTGAAGGGAACTGACCTTGGAAGGTTCTATACCATGAGCAAATTTCATGTAAGTGAGAAGTTGAAAAGGTAGTACCAGTTATTGAAGCCTCCGTCTCCACAAGAGTCTTTGAATATTAATTAAATTTTGGCTACATCAGGAGCTTATACATGTAAAGCCTTGTCACCCCATTATTCACTTCAGTCCATCTCAAGTACCATCATCAGGCTAACAGAATGTGAACTGATGACAGGAACATCACAAACATACATTTGAACCTCAGGTGGTCCAACATAGCCCCACAAAACCAAAAGTATCATGAGCTCACCTCAGAATTTATACCCAAGACCATTTGTAATTTTAGAGCCAAAAAGGATGAGCTAGAATACTTGAAATAAATAGAAAAGGTATTATTTTTCTACATGTCTTGTAAATGGCTTTCCTCTTTAGCTTTAAAATAACTGCATGATTCCCACTGAGGATAGACCACTCAAATTCAGGAACATCAATTTTGATTTGGTGGAATAAAAGGGGAACAAAATATTTGGCCTTGAAACAGAAAAACTAGCTATAGAGAAACTAGCATCTCTCCATAACTAGATTTATGAACTTCACATTCCCAACGCTTAGGAAATTGTAAGCTTTACAGATAATCAGCTAAACTGAATTAAAAAAAACACTTTAGTCCTTTCTTGTTTTCCATGTAATGAGCATCCACTGCCTTTTCTGAAATGTCCTGAGAAGCCCTTTCACTGGTGTTATTTTTGCACCTTCAGATTGATTTTTAACTAAAATTTGCTTTCAGCTATATTTTGTTTTGTTATTAGAGAAAGAAATTATATAGTATGTCACGAAAGAGTGCACTGAGATACTCTAGTTTTGCATTGGTATTACTATATTGTGATTTTCAAAGAAAAAAATCATTAGAAGTGAATTTAATCTAATGAATAATAACAACAGATAGAAATAATTAAAAAAGATTTTTTAAATGGTTAAACTTAGCAAACACTATCACAAGGAAGCCCATAAAAGCATAAATAAGTCAGAATACTTTACATTAATGTAGTAATATTATTACCAAGAATAGAAGCTTACTGGAAAAAATATTCACATACTAGGTAGGGCGTTCTACTACAGTTATAATGTTAGGAGTAGGACTGGGAATTACAGAGCTACATAACATGTTTTGCTAATTTCTTATCTGACTCCATGCAATGGATTTCATTACACTGCTAATGCTACAGCTATCCATGAGATAATGTTAAGTGTTACTGTTTATTTTCCAAAACATATGGGGTCCACATTACGTACTCAGTAACCAGAAGTAAACCACCAAAGCGTCAGTGCACATCCTTTAAAAAGGTCCATTCTAACGAGATAATGTAATATTCCCTACATATGTGCATGTTTCTACATACACGCTCCTTCTGTTTGTACCTTCTCTCTCGGATATCTGTCCTTTTACACTTAGCAATTTGGAACACAACACTGATCTGACAACTCCTAAGATGCCTAGACTACCTTCATCCCCCTCCCCACCTTTTTTCCTGCTAAGCACATGTGGGAGGGAAGGATAATTTTTTTAGTTAGTGATTGTCGTGGTTTAAGCCGGCAGGCAGCTGAACACCACACAGTGGTTCCCTCACTCCCTGCCATGCAAATAGGATGGGGCAGAGAATCGGGGAAAAAAAGTAAAACCCACGGCCTGATATAAAGACAATGTAATACAATAGAAAAGGAAGGGAAAATAATAATAATAATGATAAAAGAATATACAAAATAAGTGATGCACAGTGCAATTGCTCACCACCTGCCAACCTATGCCCAGCCAGTTTCCAAGGAGCGGCTGTGCCCTCCTGGCCAACTCCCCCCAGTTTTTCTGTTCAGCATGACATCATACTGGCCCCTTTGGCCACTTGGGGTCAGCTGTCCTGGCTGGGCCCCCTCCCAGATTCTTGTGCACCTGGCAGAGCAGGGGAAGCTGAAAATGTCCTTGACTAGTCTAAGCACTACTTTGCAACAACAAAAACATCAGTGAGTTATCAATATTCTCATCTTAAATCCAAAACACAGCACTGTGCCAGCTACTAGGAAGAAAATAAACTCTATCTCAGCCAAAACAAAGACAGTGATCAAAAAGATTCAAAAGAGAAAGGGAAAAATGCTTTATAAAATTAACCTACACTTGAAATATTTTACTGGTTCAGGCCCCTGCAAAATTAAATACTTATCAAGTCTTACGAATCTGTCAATGGGATTCAGTTATAGAGGTATTTTGAGGGAGGTGTTGGCTGCCTTCTGACAGTGGGATCAAGACAGCATAATTTATTTTATAATAGTAGATTGGCCTTTGTAAAATAATGACTTCCAGACACTGATTAAGGTGCAATTCAACTGCTGTTTCCCTTCCTTCCTTTTAATTGAATTCATCTTATGTGGAATAGTTGTAAATTATATTATAAAAGAGAGATTCAAATCTGAACATGCTCTGATGACAGAAAGAACGCAAACCTTTCTTTGCACATACGGCATGCAGCACGCGAAGGTACATTAAAATTACATTACTCACTGTAACAAAGTGTCCTTCAGTGTATCTGCAAATACAATTTGCTGCCATTTTCAAATAATTTCAGACTGTCAGAATGAAGTGAAGTAGCTTTAGCAACACTAAAGGATCCAAGTTCGACAATGGTAAAAGGGTCAAAGTTTGTTCCTAACATAACCTTGGACGTTCTTGACAGTTATAGGTACTGGGCTCAGATTTTATCCACTGATTTAGGGACAACTCAGCTTCAGCAGTAACATATGTCCCTTTGGAAACCAACACTTTTGCTTATATTTGGTCACAGTATAACTGATTTCAACCTGAAAAATATTTGTTAACAGTACTTCTTTCTCATTTTCTGGTAGTTGTTATACAGCTATTAGAATGAAACACATTATTTTTATTTTCACTTGGCTATTTTCAGAGATAAGGTATTTGTGCTTGGTTTGACCCCTCAGTTCAGAACAGTATGCCCTTGTGACATGCTATAATCAAAAAACAGCAGTTAGGAATGCTTTTTAGCTGACTTAAAATAAAAAATAACCATATGGAGAAGGAATGAATAAACCACTTAAATTTGCTCTGAATTTATGTATACCTGAACGCATAGCATCTTTTTGAATGCTTTCATAATCATGCCAGTCCTTCCTTTTCAAGCCATCAGTCCAGGTAAAGAGCTGTCCACCTCCCAGACCCAAAGGAAGTGTCTGTGAAAACAGTAAACACACAAAGAAATAAATATATACATACTTCTATGGCTTGCATTATTACAGAACAACATTATAATATGGCACAAGCAATTAAAACATTCAGTTTATCCAATACAAATATTGAAACTTCACCATAGTTAACAAAGTTATTTTTCTAAATAGTGTCTGTTGTGGTTTAAACTAAGGCAGTAAGCTAAACACCACACAGCCATTCGCTCACTCCCACCCCCCCACTCCCCCCAGTAGGACAGGGGAGAGAATTGGAAAAAAAAAAAAAAAAAGAGTCAAATTTGTGGGTTGAGATAAAGACAGTTTAATAGGACAGAAAAGGAAGGTGGTAATAATAATAATGATATCATCAATAATAATAATATACAAAATAAGTGACGCACAATGCAATTGCTCCCCACCTGCCAACCTATGCCCAGCCTGTCCCTGAGCAGCAATCACTGCCCCCACAGCCTACTCCCCCCAGTTTATATACTGAGCATGAAGTCACGCAGTATGTAATCTCTTTGGCCAGTTGGGGTCAGCTGTCCTGGCTGGGCCCCCTCCCAGCTTCTTGCTGGCAGGGTATGTGAAGCTGAAAAAGTCCTTGACTAGTCTAAGCACTACTTGGCAACAACCAAAAAATCAGCGTGTTATCAACATTCCTCTGATCATAAATCCAAAACACAGCACTGTGCCAGCTACTAGGAAGAAAATAAACCCTATCCCAGCTGAAACCAGGACAGTACCCACCCCTTATTCTATACCATCTACATTATGCCCAGGTCCCACACTTTCCAATACATCCCAATTAATCACCATTACTTTCCCTGTCTTTTCATATATACACACAGATATCATGCCCTCAGTCCATGAGCCATCCCTCTAAAATATCTGTTGACTTCATTCAGTCCATGGCTTTGATCATTCCTTGGCTCTCAAGTTGACAAATAAGCTCATGGATAGGAATCAGAGAGTCTCGGCTGGTGTGATATTGCTGATGGTGAACTGTTGTAGTAGCCATCAGCACCTGTTGCTCTGTGACCTTCAGCAACCCCATAACCGAAGAGTCCTCCAAGTGACTGGGCAAGGTGGACAGCTGTTTAATTTTCTCTGCCTCCAAGGCAGCTATACCAAAAGCCCACTGGTACACTTTTGGGTCCTTGAAATAACTCTCCTGAGATAGTCTATGCCAAGGATGCACGGAGCATCTGGGCCAGTCACAATGGGGTGCCTTTGCCACTCATTCCTGGTTAGGCTCACTTTGGCTTCCAATACAGTTAGCTGTTGAGATCCCCCTGTCACTCCAGAAATACAAATGG